TAATTTTTGTATTTTTGGTAGAAATGGGATTTTACCATATTGGTCAGGCTAGTCTCGAACTCTTGATCTCGTGATCCGCTCACCTTGGCCTCCCAAAGTGCTGGGATTACAGGGATAAGCCATTGTGCTCAGACATCAGGTATTCTTTTCGGTACCCAGGTTTCCTCAATCCCAGCACTATCGACACTTTGGACTAAATAATTCTTTGCTGTGAGGAAACTGTTCTGGGCATGACAAGACATTTAGCACCATCCTGGCCTCTACCCACTAGCTTTCAGCAACACCCCCCTCCTCCCCCTGCCAAGTGATGAGAAGCAAAAATGTCTCCAGACTTTGCCAAACATCCCCAAGGAGCAAAATCGCGTCTGGTTACGAACCACTGTGCTAGATATATAAAAATTGCCCTGCCTAGTAGTTGCAATTTCTGTTTTATGCTCCTAAAGGACAGTCAGTGCTCAAAAATTCAGTGTATTATCTCGTGCAGGGGTTGTCAAACCTCCTCTTCTCTATTGCTGGGCTGCCGCTGACTTCTGACCAAATGGAGGGGGTTGGGGGGTTTGGGCAGCATCCAATTCCTTACTCTCAGTTATACTTTCTAAGCCCCTCATCATTTCCATTGGCATTCCGATCCTTCAGAAAGCTTTTCTAGAGCAGCAAATCTCTAACATTCATCTGATATCTATATTGTCCGTAAATATTAAAAGTATCAAATCAACACACAAAAATAAGAAATCAAGTTTTGCACTGAGGTGGAAATTTTAAGAAATGTTCTACATCAGTAGGCATCTCCTGTCAGAGGTTTGTGATTCTAAGTAAATAGTACCAAGATGCTTCCTAGTTATCCTTTTTAGCTCAGAGTTGGCTGTGACTAAGTGATAAAGAACGGGAGGGAGGTGTTTATTCATGTTTAGTTTTCACAAACATGTCATGATGTATTGTGAGACCACAGCCACTTATTAATGCAACTTTCACCTACTGACTTGAAAACCTTCAAAAAAACATTCATTAGCAGATATGCTGATGAGGTTTGTAGGCTTTCAACCTCATATTTTTACCGTATTAGTCTAAAGATATTCTCAAGACAAATCATAAGGCATTACATTACCCAAGGCTTTATCTTCAGAGAGAAACAACAACAAACACCAGTGTGTTTCAAAATTCCCTAAAATGTCAACGGCCAACCAGACCAAAAGCTTTGTCTCTGTGCCCCAGGAAAAGAAAGGGACAGAGACAGGAAGAAGCTAGCTGAAGTCACTGGGGGTAGTAGCTCATGCCTGTAATCCCAGCACTTTGGAGAGTGGAAGCAGGTGGATCACTTGAGGTGAAGAGTTTGAGACCAGCCTGGCCAACATGGTGAAACCCATCTCTCTACTAAAAATACAAAAATTAGCCAAGTGTGGTGGTGCAATACTGTAGTCCCAGCTACTGAGGAGGCTCAGTGAGGAGAATTGTTTGAACCCAGGAGGCAGAGGTTGTAGTGAGCTGAGATTGCACCCTGGCACTCCATCCTGGGTGACAGAGAGAGAACTCCATCTCCAAAAAAAGAAAGAAAGAAAAGAAAACCCTGTGAAGTTGTTAACATTGGCCAGACCTCTAAATGTTTCATTGCCCCAGATTCAGTCCTTAGAATTCTTATCTCCCTCACTTTCTAGGAAAGTTATAAATACCAACTCCCAAATGTATAAATACCAACTCCCAAACGTATATCTTTAAACCCAGATTTCTCTGAGCTCCAGTCTTGTACATCCAATCCGTATCACAATTGATTGTCTCAAATTTAACACATCCCCCACAAATCCCCTTTGTTCTGTCTCCCAGATTTCTGTTCAGCCAATTGTATTTGCATGTTTCCAATGATTCAGGTCACAAACATTGGAATCACCTTGACATCTCCCTTTCTCTTATCCCCTGCATGTAATCATCAACAAATTCTGGCAGCTCTTTCTCTCAAATATTTCCATAATCCAACCACTTCTCACCCTTCTACTGGCAACCAACATCTGGACTATGCCATCTTCATCTACATTTTTAGGACAACTGACCTCCATATTTGCCCCATCCGGTCTAGTCTTCACACAGCAGCCAGTGTAACTGTTTACATTTCAAGTCATACCATGTTTTGGCTCTTCAAAATTCCCATGGCTTCCCAAAAGGCATTCATATGCAAGGCCCTGTATATCTGGCCATCTGCCTCCTCTCTGACTTCATTTCACCTTTCTACTCCATCAGCTCTTCCTCCAAGCTTTGTAGTTACTCTTCCATCTCTCTGGAGCACACTCCCCTTGAAACCCTCATGTCTCCTGCTCTCACTTCCTTCCTGTCTCTGCTCAAAGGACACTTTATCAGAGAGAATTTTCCTCACCACACTGTGTGAAATAGTGCCCCCTTCCCCATCTTTCTCTTTACTCTTATCCTGCTGTTTATAGCCCCTATCCTGCTTTTTCATCAAAAATGTTTTTTCTTCATAAATGTGTGTGCATGTATCTATATATATAGATATACACATATATGTGTGTGTGTCTGCAATATATACATATTCTATTACACATTTATTAATGCAGGGGTTGGCAAACTATGGCCCAGGACCAAATCTAGCCCTGGCCTGATTTTCTACAGACATAGCTAAAAAATGTTTTTATATTATTAAAAGGCTACAAAAGAAAAATGGGAAAAAAGATGAATATGCAAGAGAAAGCATATGTGGACCGCAAACCCTAAAATATTTAGTATCTGGCTCCTTATAGAAAAAGGTTGCCAGCTCCTGTATTGTCTCCCACTAGAATGTAAACTCCTTGAATGCAGGGACTTTGTTTTGGTCACTGTAAGATCCCCAGCATATAGAAGAGTGCCTGGTTCAAAGTAGATGCTAAGTAAATATTTTTAAAAGAATAAATCAATAAAGACAACAAGTATTTTTTTTTTTAGACTAGATCTCACTCTGTTGCCCAGGCTGGAGTGCAATGGTGTGATCATGGCTCACTGCAAGCTCAACTGCTCAGGCTCAAACAATCCTCCCAACTCAGACTCCCAAGTAGCTGGGACCACAGGTGCAGGACCAGCTAATGTTTTTGTTATTTGTAGAGACTGAGGTCTCACTATGTTGCCCAGGTTCATCTCTAACTCCTGGGCTCAAGCAATCTTCCTGCGTCAGCTTCATAAAGTGCTGGGATTATAGGCATAAGCCACCTTGCCCGGCCCAGCACTGAGTCTTATGAGGTCAGGTGACTTGTCCAAGGTCACACAGGAAACTGGCAGATGAGACAGGATTCAAACCCAGGTCCGCCAGATTCCACAGCTAGGTTCTGATGTCCAAGAGCTGCTTGCAGCAATGATTTGAACCTTCCTGTCTTCTACCAAAAGACTTCCCTTTGTAGACTGTCTCTAAGAGGCAAATTAGGTAAGGACCCTGTGGGAATGACACATAGTGTGTTGCAGAAAACCTTTAAAAATTATATCATAACAAACTTGCATCTGATATCAACTGTACTCAATGTGCTTTCAAATACATCATCTCTTAATGTCACCAAATATCTGTACAGGGTAAAAAAATGGGTTTCAGAGAGGTTAAAAGAATTGGCTTTTATAAGAAGTAAGTAGCAGAGACAGGACCGCACCTGGATTTATCACTTTCAGTGCGGAGCTTTCCCATTTAATAAACTGGACCAACATATATCCCCACAGCTCTGCTGAAGGGTAAAGGTGCTGCCATGGATATGGAGGAAGTTCAATAAAATGGCAGTCACAGTTCAGTAACTTCTAAAAAACCAGAGGTTACTCCATTTATTTCACTTAAAGGTCTGTGGTATGCAAGAAAACCTCAGTTATAAATGGCAAACTACCAATGGCCAGAGGCAGCAGCAAAGTAAGAATTTTGAAACTGAAGCAATGAGCAAAGAGCTAGCAAGCTGACCATCTCTTGGGCTTTTATTGGCGTGATAATAGTGCAGCGTTTTTGAGCTGCCAGGCCCATGACCATCTTCAAGAAGGAAGCCAAGAAAACTGACAGTTCTCTTAGCTGACATGAATATCCACAGCTGTCATCTCCTGGACCAGCTGCTGAATCTAATCAGCCATCCTCTGAGGCAGCTGACTTTAGAGCCTTAGTGTATTTGGCTGAGAAACTATGTGTGTTACGTGACTGCCAAGGGCCAGCCTTCATGCGTGATTGCCGGTGGCTGTATGTTTTTATAGAGCAGAGGTCACGATGCTGCCCCCTGGAGTTTATTTGAATCTGACATGCAGCTGTATGCTGGCCAAGGTACCAGTTCAGAATGCTTGCAACCGTCCCATTTCAAATGTCTGTCTCTTTGTCGTTGTAAGTTACTTATACTGTGTCAGGCTATATGTGCCTGTTTTATCCCCTCAGAAAAAGTAGTCTCTAGAAACAGCAGCAGTTGAAGCTACTGTGCCTAGATTTGGTCCATTTCCACGTCTCTTTACCCTACTCACTATAATATGGCCCAACTCTTAGGAAACTGAAATTAAATCAAAGTGTAATTTTCAATGACAGAATATGCAAGAATTTTAAGTATTAAATGGCTATGATTATTAAGTCAGTTTAATAATGTTTTCTCCAAATAATTTATATGGTGACTTGGATATGAAAAACTGGTGAACTGCGTAATAACTACAAATATACCATTTCTTTCGGTACATCTTTAAACTTATGTCTCTGTATTTTAAAATCTCTTTTATTTGGAAGTAACATTAGTAATTACAATGAAGAAAATGGAGCAGAGGTCAAGGGCTTTACCAAATATGTTCCTTTGTCAAAAAAAGAAAACTTGGAAATTGTTCAAAGTCGGGCGTTAGGTACCTTCTGTGTATTAAGTATGATGCGTGGTGTGATGCTAAATGTGACATTATGTTCTTAGAAGGTGTCTGGCTAGTTACATGCATATTCCAAGGAAAGTTTATATATGGGGAAGATATATTTGAGAACTCTGCATTTGTGCTATGTTAAGCAAAAAAAAAAAAAAAGTGTATCTTTTTGTTGTCAGGCTTGAGAAAGAGATCCAAGATCTTGAAAAAGCTGAACTGCAAATCTCAACGAAGGAAGAGGCCATTTTAAAGAAACTAAAGTCAATTGAACGGACCACAGAAGACATAATAAGAGTGAGCATTACCCAATTTTAAAACTGTAATTCTCTCTCAAAAATGAATCAACAAATACTATATAATTTTTTAAAGCATATCCACATTTAGATTCTGTTTTTTAAACTGTATTAATCACGGAGAATTCTTTTTTCTTATAGTCTGTGAAGGTGGAAAAGAAAGAAAGATCAGAAGGTATGTTTTTGAATAACTTACTTTATGTTTAAGTTTTTTGGTAATTTGAAATTTTTCCCATTGTTATAAATATATTCTAAATGTATTTTGAATTCATATTAATTTTACAGAGTCAATTGAGGACATCTATGCTAATATCCCTGACCTTCCAAAGTCCTACATACCTTCTAGGTTAAGGAAGGAAATAAATGAAGAAATAGAAGATGATGAACAAAATAGGAAAGGTATATGAGAAATCGGTGTCCAAGGGCATGTTCTTAGTTTCAGATTTTACAGTGTCAAATATCCACAACTTGCTATGACATATTATTCTTCCAGGTTAGGCAGTGGTCCATTTTACAAAGTCTCATAAGGTATGTGAGTCACTGCATAGGTGAGGATAATGAGGGTATATTAGTAGCATTTATTCCATGCGTTTTATTCCCTAACAAACCAGACAGGGATAAGGAAGATAAAGACCTGAAAGAGACAAGAAGTTCTTGAAAGCAAAGCTTCCCTGGACAAAAAAGATTTCTCCCGACATATTCCATTCAATAGAAACTCCTTGGGGGTTACTAAGATCTTTTTTGAAAACGAAATTATTCCTTCAGGAAGTTCAGGCCTTATTTACCTCCATGGGAGATTGACTTACATAAAACTAATGTTTCAAAGCTTCTGGAAAAATGAAGGCTTGTATGAGAGCAGAAAGGAAACCTTTGAATTTTAGAGTGGAAGGAAAAGCTATTCTTTATTTGCAGATAGCAGTCATTTATTCATTCAACAAATGAATGAATAAATGAATGAATAAATGACTGCTATCTGCAAATATTTAGTGAATGCCTACTATGTGCCAAGTTCAGCTAGGCACATAGTAGGCATTCACTAAATATTTCATGGCAGGAAGTGCAATGCAGAGAATAAAGCAGAGAAGCTGGACAGGGAGAGTGCATATGAGGATACTGCAGTTTTTCTTGGGCAGTCGAGGAAGGCCAGGAACTACTGGCCTATAGGCTATAGAGGAGGTAAAGAAATGCAAAAGGGGTTCAGAAAGATAGGTGGGGGGACACAACGAAAGCAAGCATTGTCACGCTGTAATTTTGCACAGAATCCTATTTTCTTTACTTTTCCAGTTGAAATTCCAGCCATAGGGATCTTACCTGGGTCATGAAGCAAATCTCAGCTTCCCCAGTTCTCTCCAGTCCATTTGTTTCAGTGCAGCTGATATTGCTCTATGTTTAGCCCTTCCTCTACTTGAAAATGGGAGTGAAAATGAAAAGAAACAGGGCAGAAAGAGAAGCGTGTGATTCTAGCCTTCTTCCTCCCTTTTCCATCCCAGTTCTACATTTAAATGGCCTCTCCATTGTGAAAACTTTAGAACACGCCTCTGCAATTTCACCAGGCTGCTGGCCTGTACAGTAAGGATGTAACTTTACAAAATATACTGTGCTAGGCACTTTACCCACTGTGATGCATAATGCAACACATTCTTCTTGACAAAGAAGAGAATGATTCTGCCCATTGAGAAATGCAAAAGAAAATACATCTATCTCATTGAATTTATTAATAGGAAAGAGGTTATCTTTTGATTCCCCGGTGAAATCTTTACTATTTGGAACCATTAGCTTATCTTCTCTAATCAACTTCTCTGCTTCCACATTTTCCATTTTTTAGTAATAACTCCATTCACCATTACACAAAAACCCATGTTATTACATTTGGTCATAATATCATTAATGAGTAAAGTCAGAAATTTAAAAAATAGACAACATCTCACATAAAAGAACACGAAGGGTATACTTAATATAAAAATAAACACTGTGAAAGCAGATGAGTTTATAAAAGAAAAGTTAACTAAATCAACGATCGAATTTGTTTCTTAACAGCTTTATATGCCATGGAAATTAAAGTTGAAAAAGACTTGAAGACTGGAGAAAGTACAGTTCTGTCTTCAATACCTCTGCCATCAGATGACTTTAAAGGCACAGGAATAAAAGTGTATGACGATGGGCAAAAGTCAGTATATGCAGTAAGTTCTAATCACAGTGCAGCATACAACGGCACCGATGGCCTGGCACCAGTTGAAGTAGAGGAACTTCTGAGACAAGCCTCAGAGAGAAACTCTAAATCCCCAACGGAGTATCATGAGCCTGTATATGCCAATCCTTTTTATAGGCCTACAACCCCACAGAGAGAAACGGTGACCCCTGGACCAAACTTTCAAGAAAGGATAAAGATTAAAACTAATGGACTGGGCATTGATGTAAATGAATCCATACACAATATGGACGATGGACTTTCCAAGGAAAGGAGCAACAGCTTCAATCATATCAGTCCCATTCGGCCAGTACCTCACCCCCGATCAGTGATTCAACAAGAAGAAGAGACAGTACACACCCCACAAAAGAGGCTGATAATTCCTTGCGAAGAATCAAATGTCATACAGGACAAAAAGGCGCCCTCTCCAAAGGCAAGGCTGAGCCCCAGAGAGACAGTATTTGGGAAATCTGAACACCAGAATTCTTCACCCACTTGTCAGGAGGACGAGGAAGATATCAGATATAATATCGTTCATTCCCTGCCTCCTGACATAAATGATACAGAACCAGTGACAATGATCTTCATGGGGTATAAGCAGGCAGAAGACAATGAAGAAAACAAGAAGCTTCTGACAGGATATGATGGGATCATCCATGCTGAGCTGGTTGTGATTGATGGTGAGGAGGAGGAGGATGAAGGAGAAGCTGAGAAACCATCCTACCATCCCATAGCTCCTCATAGTCAGGTGTACCAGCCAGCCAAACCAACACCACTTCCTAGAAAAAGATTAGAAACTAGTCCTCATGAAAACACAAATTATAAATCTCCCCACAAAAATTCCATGTCTCTGAAAGAGCAAGAAGAAAGCTTAGGCAGCCCTGTCCACCATTCCCCATTTGATGTTCAGACAACTGGAGATGGGACTGAGGATCCATCCTTAACAGGTAATAAAAATGACAAGGCATGCTACTGCTGTTCTGTCATGTGACCCGCTTCTCTTGTGCTAACACAGTCTTGCTTTCAGGCTTCTTTGACCACCTCATAAAACTCATATGCACTGAGTTTTTTTATTAATGCTGATAGGAATTATTGTCACCCCCGTAAAGTGATTCAGTCATTTCAAAAGATAAAGAAAGTAAAAATAAATTATTGCCTTATTTGATATTGTATTGATGAACTTCAATAACTTGAATTTCATCTTGTATCAGGGTATGGTGCTGCTTGTGAGTGTATTTGGGTCACTAATATGTTGGATCATCAATTACATATCTTTCCCCACTAGAATCTGATGACATTTTATTTGTGCCTCACAGTGATTTAAACTTCTTATGTAAGTTAACAAATTGCCTTAATTTTGAAACAAAATACAAGAAACAAATTTTATTTTCAGAGCATTTTATTACTTTGCTGTATCTTGTTTCTCTACACTTCTATAGTTTCATTAATTTTATTTCCCTAATTTTTCTACATTTTAAAATAGAACCTTACTTTATCTTGTCTTTTCTATAAACTTTAACTTTGCATAGTCTTCCCCAACTTAGCATATTTATCTTTTCTATTTTCTATATATTTGCATTTCTCATTCTTTGTAAAATTTTTATAGCTTTACAGCCAACCAGCTATTTTAGCATTGAATAGAAAATAACTTTTAACACTTTTTTCCTACAAAAGTGATAGCTTCCCAATTTTAGATTCCTTGTTATGACTTTAATGTTATATTCTAGTTATCATGTATAAAGAATAAATAAGAACCTGACAAAATCAGTTATAATAGCTGTACTCACCTCGGCTAAAGATGTAAATCAAATTACCTAGACATATGGCTTCTATGTTTCTGCTAGGGATAGTAATTTTAAATGTCTCTAATGGAAGGATTCTCATTAAAAAGCAATAAATATTAAGTACAGCCTAATTTCACAAGTAGAACCTGATAATTGTATGGAAGTATGGTAACACCTGCATAATTCAATAATATTTCTTCCTCTATACCCCATTAACCCAGTATTAGGTTGCCAATAATACAGTAAAATGAACCCTCTCCCATTATTTTAAGTAGTTAAAGTAGGTATCCCAAAGATAAATTTAATTACCTGAAGAATTTCTAAGTTTTTGGAAAGTGTACACGTATATAACTTCCTCAGAGTTGACTGGTATGTCCCACAATGGAAAGTTGCAGATACTAAGTTTCTTTCCATTTTAAGAAAGAGCTTTGTTCACTGATCAAACTTTGCCATCTTAAACTCATTTTAAAACTGAAAAACACAGAAGACAGAAAAGAGGAACATGCTGTTTATGGTCAACAGTAGTGGCATTATCCACTATAAAACCTCCCGTTTCTGAACTAGGATGTTAGCCGGCTCCTCCTGAACACCCTTATTTCTTCCCCTCTAACCTTGTCAACACATTCACCCCATGGAAAATGACAGGAAGTGACTAACATTTCCAGACAACACTAATCATGCCCCTGAACTAAAACAATGAAAACAGGAAAACCTATTCCAGACAAAGTAACAATACAGAGTTCTGTACTATCAATCAAAGTATCTTACAAACAGAATGCTCCAAATTCCTTGCCTTCCACCATGATATTGTTTTACATTGCTGTTTTCCAATTCAGCATACACACTACAGAGCTGATGTGTATTTTTTTAAATGGGTTTTTAAAATAAGTAAGTCACAGTGTCATATGCCCTCAGGGGCCATACATATACACAGAATACATAACTACCTATGCATTTCAATTTCACAAACACCAAATGGGTTGCGCTGCTTCCCCTAACTCCCCCCAAAAAATGCTTATGATACTTGAAAACTCACCATTTAGGTCAATTCCTTTATCTGTGGTATACATCACCTGTTTAAGATAAATAGCCCTGGTAGGCATAATAGTTAAGAATTGTTAGTCTCTTTTCCCATAGTACAAATATGGTTATCAATGCCTTATCTAAGAGAAATTTTAATTTGGAAAACAGCAGGAAGAAGAAAGAAATGGAAAAAGGTAGAGCCTGGAGATTTTAAAGACAAGATTTGTTAGTCAAAATTTTGAACAGAGTAAGACATGATAGAAAATTCAGGCAACATTATGTCCATCTGCTAATGTAAATATAACAGGTTCATAAGATAAAGCTCAATGCCAGACACTTCCACCATTGCATGGCCCCAGCCAGCTTTGCTTGGGAGCTCACTGCTATCTCCACCAATCAGGGGGTAGTAGCTGGCTTTCTTTGGTAGTCCTCACCAACCTAGTCTTGTACTTCCAGTTCTGTTCTGTCCTCTTAGAGATGTCAGTGGCATTCCAGGATGAAGTGGTGGGGACCTCAGCTCTGGGAGCTGACATGCTATTGGTGCTGATTGCCAATCTGCAACAGCCATTGGGGTCCAAGGGATACTGAGAGTAAGGAGACCACCAAGTTCGGTCAGCTGAAACCATGCATCTGAATTGCTATGCGAAGAAGAGGCAGGGATCAGAGAACAGCAGAAAATAGGAGTAAAAAGGAGAGCTGATGGCCCAGGGTTTTCAGATGCTAAACCAAGCCTTCTGTTGCCAACATGCTCTGGCCCCGTCCATTTACTGGAACTCACACCATGTACTTGCCATAGGCTTGAAAAAAGGAGAGAAAGGAAAGCAGACTCTAGCAAACTTCTCTGAATGTCCACAGCACACAGAAGGTGCCTGATTTATGGAATTTTACGGTGAGGAATGACTATAAGAAAAAGCAGTTTGCCCCTGACTTGAGACTCTTAAAAAGCTCCTCACTCCTACTCTCTTTTGTTGGTAGGGGCAAGGTAGAGGCCCATAAAATCCAACAGTGGAAACTTCATAAAGTCTTACCTTCTGCCTTCTGTTCACCTTCTGCCATGTAACTACAGCCTCTCCCAGCAATTGAGACCTGCTTGCTACAGAGCACATTCTCTCAGCTCATCCTAAATTCTAGGGAAGACTCTTGGCCCTGCCACTAGAAATGATCATCCCTCTTACAGTTTCAGGGAAATAATGCTCTTTAACATTATTGAAATGGAAATATTTCATATAAGTGGAGTGACAATTAAAATGATCATGGTCTTGTTACAGAATTAGATCCCATCCCTTCTCGTATTTGTGCAAAAAGGCTTCTTAGGCATGGGGTCATTTCCATTGTCAAAGGGTAACCAGTATATGGCATAGAAATGAGAAAAACATATCTTCCATTTTATTTTTTAATTAAACAAAATTGTGCAATCAGTTACATAGCTGGTTCTTGGGCCATATTACATGTGAATGTAATATTAGATCATTATTATAATATTTAGATCAGTGCCTTGAAAGCATTTCTAAACTTTTGGAACATGACTAAGGCAGCTATACACTGAAATCCTAAATAATAAGGATAGAACACCAACATACTTGTCCAGAATACCAGAAGAGTGTTATACATTCTAAATCTACATTTTAAAAAAATGCTTTCTACATTCAATATATTATTAGCAGAAGAATATATCCAAAAAGATATATTTGCCATTTTAAAGCATACTTATATCTTGACAAAGACATTTTATAATCACTCACTTATATCTTGACAAAGACATTTTATAATAACTGTTAATTACTGGTTCATGTTATTTCATTCATAAAGAAATTTGTTTTTCTTATTGTATATCCAAAGGCCAGAGCTCCTTTGGGAAAGGAAATTTAATGAGCTAAAAGCAAACACAGTCATGAAATAGAGTTTAAGTGTCCCCACCTTTTTATTTTGGCAGTATGTAGCTCAGAAATGTGTGTAAAACACAATCATCAACCTGTAGGAATATATTTGTATGGCTAACAGGGAAATTGTGCACTAATCCTGTATTTGTTCCACTTGTGCTGTGTTTGCTCTACTAATTTTTCTAATCTTTGTAGAAATAGGTTCCTTCTAGTTCTGAACCTGCTTCTGCCCTAAGTTAACCATAGCTTATTATTTCTACTATCTTTTTGTGCTACTAAATCAATGCTCACATTGTTGGATAAAACCATCTGAGGTATGTTTAAACTTTCCTGCATTCTATGAATGGTCATTTAGTGTAAAAATTGAGGATTTTTTATAACTCTCTTTTTTTCTTTTATTGCAGCTTTAAGAATGAGAATGGCAAAGCTGGGGAAAAAAGTGATCTAAGAGGTGTATTGCCTACATAAACATCCTTTGGAGAAGACACTAAGAAGCATTTGCAAATTTCTCTTCTGGATATTTTGTTTATTTTTTCTAAAGTCCAAAAAGTTATCATTACAGTGTACCATATTAAGCCATGTGAATAAGTAGTAGTCATTATTTGTGAAAATTTCCCAAAAAGCTGGGGAGAACAAATGTGTAACTTTTCCAGTTACTTGATATGATTCAGTGAGGGAAAACCAGCATTTTCTATTGTATTGATACCAAAGCATTTCTAATAAGAGCTTGTTAAATTTAAGAATAAAGTTATTTAAAATATTCTGAGTATACCATATTAACTGGCATTGTAATTTTGATGATACAAAGATTGGAAGATCATAGGAAAGCATTTCACTTCATCACAAATAGTCAACTCTGACAAGTAAATATGTCATCCTGAATTAATAATACCTTTATGAAAGTACATCCTTCTGCTAAATATCATTTCAATTGGCTTGGTACAGACTTCAAACCCTTGCACATAGCCAAAATGTGCATCCCATAATGATCCTCAGATTTGGGGACTGGGTTTGGATCGTCTAGCCAGTACACAGATGATAACTGGCACATTCATCCTTCTTAAATCATCATCCTTTCTTTCACTCAGTTTAATGTGAGCCCTGTGGTGCAATGACTGATTATGACCTCAGGGTGCTGGATAGAGGATGCCCCATACCCTCAGAGAGCACACATCTGGTCTAATACTTGACTGATTCTTGTGAACAAGTTAGACGGGTGTGGCCAATCTTTTGGCTTCCCTGAGCCACATTGGAAGAAGAATTGTCTTGGGCCACACATAAAATATACTAACACTAACAATAGCTGATGATCTAAAAAAAAAAAATGCAAAATAAATCTCATACTGTTTTAATAAAGTTTATGAATTTCTGTTGGGATGCAAATCAAAGCCATCCTGGGCCACATGAGGCCCGTGGGCAGCAGGTTGGACAAGCTTGAGTTAGAATCTTAATATTAAAACTAACAAGAATCTTTACAGCCTATTACTCCAAAGTGTTCTTGCCAAGATACTCAATCCCAATTTGAAAGGGAATACTCCCATGACAATAAATTCCCTCCTACCTTGCCTTATTATTTGTCCCTCCTTCCAACCCCTCAAGATCCACTCCTACACACTTTCCCCTCAACTATGCCAGTACGTATTACCTAGCTCCTCCAAGTCTGTCCACAAATAGTCTGTTTGCTCCCAGGACAGAAACTGAATTTCCCTTCTGGGACTATGTATGAGCAGACTTTATCTTAATTACTGGTCCGGAGGTAATGAGAGGTCAGAGAAGCAGATGATGCTGAGGAGGACAGGCATTAACCTGCAAAGCCTCCACTTCGGCTGAGTGGATTAGCAAGGGGCAGCTGTTCTAGCAGGAGAGAGCTACTTCTGGTGGCCTGAAATGTTCTGCAAAACCTGAAGGTTCAAGTTTTTAAAGTAAAGTACTTTCAACAAATACCCCTATTGCAGGTCCAGGGACTCCTTCCCTTTCATGGCTCTGAGTTTAGCAATAGATGACCTCTCCAACCCGCACGTTCCTTTGTTGCCCAGTCACCCTTAGGATTGAAGCATGAGTTTTACTTTCACACAGTTTGCCTTCTGTCTACAAGAGACATAGGTCTCTTTAAACATTGCCATGAAGCCTGTTTGGCTTTCTGGAATGCTCTGAGGAAATAGTTGGCTGGTCTGAGCCTAACTCTTTTTCTTCAAGGCTTCTAAGGCAATTATCAAAAAGCAGCCAACTTCACAGCACATGGCAGTATATGACAATACTTTTGCCCTGTACCAGTAAAGGGCAAAACTGCTTTAAAACCCACCTCTTCCCTTTCACCTGTACCTCATCTCTATCCAGTACAAGGGAGAGTCTTAGTAACTGTAATAAGTCAGTCAAAGGTTGTTACCATTCACTTATCACACAGTCCTCATTGCCCTCTGACCAGTGAGTGGACACCCCAGTTCCAGAGTCCCATTCAGAGCATCTGCTGTGTAGAGCCACTCCTGGTTCCAACAAGAAGTAGAGCCTGAAATTAGGACTTGGGTATAGTAGTTTGAGAAGTGATCCCAGGAGCAGGAAGAAAAGCACAGGAAAGAATGATCTACATAATGGTACATAGAAGTCAATGCTTTAGGTACTGGGGCCTGAATTCTACCATAATCTCAAAGAGTGTACAGAAAGCAGCCAGCATTGTCTGCCCAAAGGAGAGGACTTTAGGGCATTTATCCACCAGCTCCAGTCCCTCATTGATTGAGGGAGCATAAATTCCCCCAAACTTCTGGAATGCACTTGTGTGAGAGTCTCACAGGCTCCCGTAGTGCCCAGAGTGAAAAGAAGAAAGAAGCACAGAACATGCCTCCGGAAGGATGGTAAGTCTGAACTTAGAAGTGTCCACTGCAGCTACGGTGCTGCAAAAATGGACCAAGGGGAAATGACACAGGCACCAACAGTGTCTGCCACAGGGCAACAAACAACTTACCCAAGCCTGTATCCTTATCTATAAAATGAGGTAAATGTCACATGCCTAACAGCCATTTGAGGACTCAATTTGTCAGTGAATTAAAAGAACCAAGTGTCCTCCCCATCATCAAGTCTGGCTGAGGTGTCATACATAAAGGTAGATATCATACACCCTCATCCTTTCATATCTTGATGTTTTGTATATTTAGTGCTTATTTTAGGTCAATGGGACATTTCAAGTTAAGTGGAGTAGAAGTAAGTGAAGGAAAACTTTGGGGAAGGGTAAGTGAAATAAAAGTCCAGGGTATTTTTTTCCCTGAAACATTTAGTTGGTCCAGCTCTATTTGCTGAAACACTATATTTTCCACATTGAATTACCTAGACACCTTTGCTAATCAATTGGTCTTAGAAGGGAGAGTCTACATATGGATTCTCTGCTCCGTTCCATTCATCTGCATATCTCTCATGTAGATTGCACATTTTATTTATAGTGGCAAATACTGTAGTTTTATAATAAATATTGGAATAAAGTACGGGTAGGTCCTCCAATCTTATCTTGTTTTTTAATAGACTTTAAAAACAGTTTTAGATTAACAGAAAAATTGAGAAGACAGCACAAAGTTACCACGTACCCTGTACCCAGATTTTTCTATTTTAACTTCTCACATTAGCGTTGTACATCTGTTACAATTAATAAACCAGGAGTGATACACTATTATTAACTAAAGTCTCAAACTTTACTCAGATTCCCTTAGTCTTTAACTAATGTTCTTTATCCATTCCAAAATCCCAAATAGAAAACCATTAGTACTTTTAGTTGTCATGTCTCCTTTGGCTCTTCTTGGCTGTGACTCTGTTTCAGATTTTCCTTGTGTTTGAATGACCTTGACAGTTCTGAAAATAACTGAGCAGGTATTTTGTATCTGCGTACAAACTATGAGTTATAATCCAACACAATTTGCTGCTCAAATTGGTCCAGCTTTGGCTAGTGAAAGCTCATTCACTTGTCTCCTGTGCCCTATAAGTGATTTTGGTTCGTTTTTTCCTTACTTTCTGGCACTACAAGATGACCCAGTCTCATTCTATCTATTTCCTTCCCCAGTTCTAGAATCAGCAACTTTTTCAAGAGTTTGTTTCTTTTATTGGAGAATGGTGTGGAAAACAAGATCTGGGCACCAGGCATGCTCATTGCTACTTTGTCTTTTTAAATATTGTTTTGACCATTTAAGGTTCTTTGTCTTTCCATGTGAATTTTAGAATCAGTCTCTAAACCCCTTCAAATGAGCCAGCTAGCATTTTGATTGGAATTGAACTTATAGATCAGTTGGGAGAGAATTATCATTCTAATATTGTTTGCCGATCCATGACTATGATATGTCTCTCCATTTTAGGTCAATTTTAACTTCCCTCAACAATATCTTGTAGTTTTATAGTAGGCAGATCTTACACACATTTCATTAAATGTATCACTAAGCATTTCATCACTTTGACACTATCAAAATGCAAGTTAGTCTTTACATTTTTTCCTAGCTTTTCATTGTTATTATGTAAGGATAAAATTGTTTTTCTAGAGACCAGCAAACAATACAGTCAGGATGGCTAAAGGTGACCCCCAGAAGCCAAAGGGCAAGATCTCTGCTTATGCCTTCTTTGTGCAGATGTACTGAGAAGAACCTAAGAAGAAAACCCCATGGTCCCTGTCAATTTTGCAGAATTTTCCAAGAAGTCCTCTGAGAAATAGAAGACAATGACTGAGAAAGAGAAGTGTAAATTTGATGAAATGGCAAAGGCAGATACATTACGCTATGACTGGGAAACGCAGGATTAGGGACCAGCTAAGGGAGGCAAGAAGAAAAGGAATCCTAATGCCCACAAAAGGCCACCATATGGATTCTTTTTGCTCTGTTCAGAATTCTGCTCCAAGATCAAATTCACAAAGCCTGGCATCTCTATTAGAGATGTGGCAAAAAAGCTGGATAAGATGTGGAATAACTTAAATGACAGCGAAAAGCATCATTACCTCACTGTATTAGTCCATTCTCACGCTGCTATGAAGAAATACCTGAGACTGGGTAATTTACAAAGGAAGGAGGTTTAATTGACTCACAGTTCTGCATTGCTGGGGAGGCCTCAGGAAACTTACAGTTCTGGCAGGAGAAGGAGAAGCAAGCACCTTCCTCACAGCGTGGTAAGATGGAGTGGGAGTGCCAGCAAGGGAAACACCAGACGCTTATAAAACCATCAGATCTCACGCGAACTCACCATCACAAGAACAGCACGGGAGAAACGACCCCCAGGATTCCATTACCTCCACCTGGTCCCACCCTTGACACGTGGGGATTATCAGGATTGCAATTCCAGGTGAGATTTGGGTGGGATCACAGAGCCAAACCATATCAATCACCAAGGCAGCAAAGCTGAAGGAGGAGCATGAGGATATTGCTGATTACAAGTTAAGGAAAGTTTGATGACACAAAAGGTCCTCCTATAGTTGCCCGGAAAAAGGTGAAAGAGGAAAATGAAGAACACAAGGAGGAAGTAGAGGAGGAGGATGAATTAAAAAACTGTTTATCTATTTAAAAACTGCTTTTCTATAATGACTTTTATCCTACAACTCTGATAAGTTCAATTTATTTTAGCTTTTTTTAATACATTCCTTAGGATTTTCTACTTAATGATCAGGTTGTCTGCAAATAAAAACAACTTTACTTCTTCCCCAATCTTATGACTTTTATTTCATTTCACTGTTTTATTGCACTGACTAGGACTTTCAGTACGTTACATATTAGTGCAGAGAGCAGGCATTCTTTGCCTTGTTCTGATTTTTCAGAGGGGA